TAACAAGCAACGACACTCGTTATCACTTGGTGAAGAAGCGTTTGACAGCAGATAAGAAGTGGTCGGCGCACCTAGTCTGCTCGTTTTAGATGTGAACATTTGAGCAGAAATATATTTTGCTTATTTAGAAACGGGAACTAGCTGATTGATACTGAGTTTCATATTTTACTAGGAAAATTATATTTTGTAGCGGCTTTCTTCTGATTTCTAATCAGAATCTATAATTTGACAATTTCGATTTTGGACTCCTCAGTGTAAGAGATGTGCTCGGTGCAGACTACTTTCCATGCTGCCTATGTTGGTGCACTGGGGTTGCAAGAAGACAAACTGGTACCAATGAGAAGAACCCAGCCTTCCACTGATGATCATCTTATTCCCACTGTAGATGGACAAGACCCACAAATACATTCTTAAAATGAATCCCATTTAAAACATATTTTTTCTAATTTTGGAAAAAAAGTATATAAATCTTAGAACCTTTCAGGCTTTAGCTGCTCTCTGTGTCCTCACTAGGGATATTTCCCCTCACTTACTGAGGGAATCAGAGACACAGCAGGAAGTGAGAGGAAATCTCCTGAGCTTTGACAGTTGTCACCAGAACAGGCGTCCCCATTCCAAAATATCTCCTCTGTTCTTGTTCCGAGGACAACTATACCATTTTAAATTTTCCCTCGCTTTCTGTCCTTGTGACAACAGCAATCAGGGCAAAAACATAAGGGTGAATCTCCCCAATAAGGTCACAGACATGAATAAAAGCATGACAGAGGTTCCAACCCACCTACACTGTATTCAAAACTAGATGGGTTTTCGCTGAAGTTCCATATTTTGGTTTGTGTCTTGGGATTAAGTCTGCTGGTGTTGGTAATATCACAGGAAATGCTTTTATTACTGCTGATCAGTGAGGCCACTACTTGACTGGTTTAGAGAATTATGAGGTGTGTGAGGGTGAGGAGATAATACTGGGTTTGCTTGTTGTCACTATATAATGTTGGCATTTTGTAAGTCCCTGAGGAACACATACTCTGGTCAAATGGCACAGAGATAAGATCTATGTACTCACAAGTCTGTCCCTTTAATGAGGCAGCCTGAAGCTGTTGCCTCAGGCAGCATCTTTTGTGTCACAAGGCAAAGTGGCATGGATGCTCTGTTGCACAATGTTTTCAGTGTGCCTGCCATCCCCTTTCTGATCAGAGTGTCCCAAGTTGAGAAGATCTGGGCGGGGAGATGTGTAAGAGCCATACACATCTCCCCACCCAGCTCTTAGCAACCTGGGATACTCTGGCCGGCATCCTACCTAGCTCCTGGCAACCAGTGACATCACTGGTTGCCAGGAGCTGGGTGGGACGCCAGCCAGAGTGTCCCAGATTGCTAGGAGCTGGGGTCTGCAGATGTGTATCTCCAGGACCTGCAGGGGGATCAAACTCATTCTCTACACATGCTCCCATGTCTGTGTCCAAACTGGATATCAGTTGTTAATTCCCTTCATACCGAATAGCACAGATCAAAGTTGAAGGAAATGTATGCCATATGTTTTACTTGTTCCAAGAAGTTATAATCTACTGGCATTTATCTGATCATGTTTTACATAACAACACTCTGAGCATGGACATCTCAACTCTCCCGGATGTTCCGGGAGTCTCCCGCTATTATATAGCGGCTCCCGGACACCTGGGAGAGAAACATTTTCTCCCAGAAAGGTTTACTCTGCTTTATCTAGCCGGCCGCCGTCAGTCAGAAAAAGAAAACGGCATAGTAACTAATAGCTAGATTGCTATTGGCTATTTCAATGTGCAAAAGCCAATAGCAGACTAGCTATTGCACCCACCCACTGCTGCTGTCAATCAGCAGAGGTGGACCTGAAGTTCTCCATCAGGTCCACCTCTGCTGACTGACAGCAGCAGAGGGCGGGTGCAATAGCCAACTTGCTATTGTCTAATTGAAATAGCAATCTAGCTATTAGTTCCTATGCCGTTTTTTTTTTTTTTCCTGACGGCAGCAGCTTTAGCTTCTTTGCTATCTGCCATCATTTCAGGGGGTGCTCTCTTCCTTGTTGTTGCACCCCCCCCCCCCCCTGGGGGGAGGAGGAGGGGGGGATTTGGCACAGGGTCAGGGCACCTCCCTGAAATGGGAAGGGAACCTCCCTGAAACAACTTATTTCAAGTTGGGATCCCTGTGAGCATGGTTTTGTTTCTAACATCTAATCCTTGAAGAGAAGTTTAAGTTCTCTTACTCATGGATAGATGTTTGACTTGGACACAGGTTTACTTCACTTAATTTGCCATGATTTCATTAAAGTTCATCACCCTCTTTGTATTTCGGTTTTACTCTGTTATCAGCGAGGTGAAAATGTTGTGGTTTTCCTTTGTCCTAATCCATTCAAACTTTCATAATGGATTCATGAATAACTTGTGGTTAATGTGACACATATACTCTTCGACGGCACTGAGGATAAGATGCCACTTGAACTTTAGACATATTACTTAAGTATTATTTTCATAAAACAACATATCTTGCTTATAAATGAATCAAGCTGTATTCCTTTTTATTTGTGATGAATGGACTTGAAGAGGCAAAAAAACATTTTATAGAAGTCTTCTACTGGTGAGAGATCTGATGCAAAAATTTCAGTCAATACATGGTTTTGTTAAAAATGATGAATGGGATAATAAGAAATCTGAAGATGTTGAGGAAGTATCTGCTGCTAGCCAGATCTAAATACCCGCTGCAATCATTCAGAAATGAGAAAGTAGAACTTTAAAACAAACACAAAATAACCAGTGCTCCCACATGTTTAGAACTGAACTTCAAGTCTATAATATGTATGGAATCCAACAGGAAATGAACATGCAGCCTAGTGAAATCTCACTCTCTCTGTTCTTTAGTAAACACTAGGAAGGAAGTCTCTTTTATCACAGCTAAACAATATAACCTGCAATTTATGCATTGTCTGAAATTACAGGAGAGTTTATTGTCTATGCAGCTGTAAAACAATTCACCAGAGGTGTTTACAGGCAGGCAGTTGGAGTTATAAAAGCTTAAAATAATGTGAAAGGTATGAAATTAAAACTGCTGGAATATTTTGGATGAAACTGTGTTCAGGCTGATCTAATAAAGAGAATGTAATGTGCACAGTTGAAAAAACCAATAGCATCCAGTCAGAACTCATCTTTCGCTTATATTAGAGCTGTAAACTGAAATGTGATTGGATGCTATAGTTTACATCGAAATTAGAGATGGGCAACTCCTGCCCTCCAGCTGTTGTGGAACTAGAAGTCTCATGAGGAATTGCAAAACTGACAGCGACAGGTATGACTCCCAGAGGCAGAGGCACATTGTGATATGTTGTTAAAGCACAGCTGAAGGGCCTAAAGGCTCCTGTATGGCAGTTTACATAAGTCCCATATACAGTTACTAAGTGATGCACAAGCCTCATAAAGTAATCAATAACGTCCTATACCTCCACTGGCTGAGCCAAATCATTCTTCATTTGTGTCTTACATACTCCCGATTCAAGGCACTGTGCAGTGGGCAGGACTAAGTATGGCTGAGTGACAAGCTACAGGCTTGTAAATTAGCAGTGACAATGCTGATAGCCATGCCCCCAGCAACATTTTGTCATCTCACTGTAGAACAAGCAGGCACAGCCTACATGAGAGTGACAACTCTGCTCTGAATTTAGCAGCAGTGCAGCATTCTTGCCATCCCATCACAGAAAGCTGCCTTAGGTGGACTTCACTCTTCAGTTCAATGGGTATTTGTGTGACATTGCAGGGGGTCTAAGAGAAAACTGTAACTGTTGACACATCTAAAATGAAGTTCTGTATCACATACTGTACTTCGTAAATGGAGGCCCTAGTCCTACTTTACGCATCCACCATTTGTTTTGTTAAACAATGTATTAAAAATTGTTAGAAGATGTAAAGAGTTTACAAAATGATACTCTTGTAGAAATTCAATGACTGACAACTTTTTTTTTACAAGCATTGTTTATTTGGGGGTTTTTTTTTGCGAAGTTCCTTATGCATATAATGTGTTTTCTTTGGTGAAATGTTTTCATAGTGAGGGTAATACAACAAATAGCATTTAATGACACAAGATGAAATGTTTTTCTTAGCTGGAATAACTTGTCAGAGCTTAATAATAAGCAGTGCTTTGGGCGCTGACTAGTAATTGCTACCATGTTGTATGCAAGCATGCTCACGAGTACTAAACCAATACCCCCTCATTACTTTGTTGTTTGAAATCTATAGAAGGATATTTACAAGTAAGCAAAGAAAAAACATTAGAACTATAGGATAAAGTTTTTCATTGCCGAGTAAGGAAAGATCTAAAAAGAAATATCTACAATGTAAGCTGTGTGTTTAAACAATAACTTCTGTTTGAAACATACTTTGAAACTATTTAATTTTGGGGAAGGGGTGGGGATAAAATGAGTGTAAAATGTTGCTGATTATGGCTGCCTGCTATGAAGTTCCTCTGGCAATTTCCTCCTTTCAGTGCTTTCATTGATGCCACTTGTTGGATTTATGTGTCAAAAACCTCACTGCAGAATTTTTATTAGCATCCAGATATACCTTCCAATACTGAAACGGGGAAATACCTTTTTAGAACACAATATTTAGGTACACGATACAACCCTGCCAGGAGGGGGTCACAAAAATGATCACATAAACCCTGTGGGTGTTTATTTTCTGCTCCCTTTCCTTTATATTAGCAATCAAAAATACCCAATGAAATATTCTGAACAGATGAAAAGTTTAGTGCAATATAAACAACTTTGGTAGCTAAATAGTAATTTATTGCTGTATTTCTGTAAATAAATGAGGGATAGAGGGAGAGTTTCTCTAAATGAGGGACAGTTAGGAGCTCTGCCAAGATAAGAAGCAGTAACATTCAGCAAAAGGAGGAGATGGTTGGTAGAAATTCACTTTTTTGGGTAGGGAATGGAAATTATGGAACATTGCTCACAAACATTGTTTTCTCTGACTCTTATTTTACAGCAACCTCATGTGGTGGCCGATTTAATGCCAAAGATCCTGGTTACATCACCTCAACTGGGTATCCGTATGACTACCCTTCCCATCAGAACTGCGAGTGGGTCATCAGTGCACCAGAGCCCAACCAGAAGATTGTGCTGAATTTCAACCCACACTTTGAAATTGAAAAACACGATTGCAAGTAAGTGCTTATATTTCTACATCTGAATACTCTCGCAAAAGCCACAGATGTGTGAGTGTGTGTATGTGTGTCTAGATAAAGACCTTCAACTGCTATATTTTAGGAAATCAGATATATTGATGTATAATCCAAAACTTCCAAATATTCATGCAGGTTTCCACAGTATTTAATGGAGGCTAAGATGTGTGAGCCAGATTGATTCCAATATCTGGCATATGCCACATGATGTCATTACTCTATAGATTAAACAGAAGCCTTGTATGACCCGCTGGGCTGAGGTTTCTCAAGTCCCAGCACTAAGCTATTGATTGGTATTGATCTCTCCTGCGCACTGGAGACTTTCAGGCCAGCATGAGAATGTCGATCCTACTACCCGTGAAGCACTATTTATAAAGCATGTGCATTTTTCCAATCCCCAATGCACGGATGAAGTCATCACACAATTCCACCATTTTATAAACTCCAGGGGTTAGCAAACCTGGAGATCTATTATATTTAACCCCTTAACGTCATGTTTGCTTTAACCTTTTATATACTCCAAATGTTTAACTTCAGCCGCCACTTAAACACAGGGTCAAAAAACACTTTTATAATGAATCAGGCCTGTAAAACATGTTTTTTTTGGAAGTTAATGGGTGAATACTGCTGTCTTCTGTAAATGAGTTCTCATGTTAGAATATCCGTAAATCTTAAATAATTGATGCCCTGACCCATATATGCCAGTTTCCATCTGTAGTTTTAGCTAAAATGCGAAGGCCTATGTTTACTAACTAGTAGAATAGTGTTATGTTAGTAGACATGGCTATTACAGGCTACCGGGTAAGTTAATAAAAGTCATGCGTTTTACAATAGACAAAAATTGCTGTGTACAAAATCAGAAATCAGATTTAAAAAAATCATAGCTCAGATGTTTATTTGAGCAAGAGCTGTCCTAGGCTGGCATAAAATCAAGGATTATATTATTTTAGGAAAGAATACCTTCATATACCATGATAAAAAAGGCTACTATCTCAGCCAGTTTGTTTTGACTGGTAGCGTGCTTTATACCGTTATAATGTTAAGGTTTAAGAGGGATAGCTTGAGGCTAATTTATAGTGCAAATATAGCCATTTTATTAGCATTGGATGGAGTAGGGAAGGATTAAAACCCTTATCAAGTTTTTATTGCTGTCTCTTTCCCAACTAGGTAGAATCTTCACCTCTGTTTGTTCTCGTGACTGTTGTGGAATTTTAGAATTGCCACCTTCACAAGAGGTGTGGCTAAATTTTGCAAAGGGAACATCTGTACTGGGGACAACTGTTTAGCAGTGGAATTCTTCTCATGTTATACAGATTTCTCTGCTGTGACACCAGGACATCTCCTCAAAAGGACGCAGACAGCACACTTATACTGGCAGGGTTTTTTTTTATCCTTTTCCTAGTCTATTGTAAAGTAAAAATAAATAAATGTTTTGGCTTTACATACACTTTAATTGGTTGCTATGGGGCAACACAGACTGGTGCAGACAGTTCTTCTTCAGACACCTTAAATGTCCATTATTGTAACTGTTATATATATATATATATACAGAGAGAGAGTTAGCTCCAAATAAAAAACGAAGCAAACTCAGTCCACTCCGCAGAGTCTATTTTAGGGCTCCTGCCACTGCTGTTATTTGTCTACAAAACCGCTTATCAAAAGACATTACCATCACAGGGGTGTTCACAAAGATACAAATAATATTCAGACTCCTGGCTATTGGGTCTGCTTAGACTCTCAGCCTGCTTCAGCACAGTATGATTATTTTCCTTAGGCTTTGGCCTGTTCAGAGTGCCTTTTTGGTAAGGCCAGACAGATCTGGACCTACTCTCTTTGCCTGTCCGTCTGCACACATACTGCTCCTGCAGCAATCTGTCTTCTGACAATTACTGACTAGAGAATACTCTTTTGTGACAACATCCATCTTAGTCCAGTCCATTTCACACCTGCTCAGGGACCATTCATGCGCTGAAACAGGCACTATCTGCACAAAGTGCTGTCAACAAGGATTAGTCTGAAAAACAGAAAAAAATATTTGTAAGAATATACCTAGTCACCCCTGCATTTCTGTCAGATAATGCACCACTTCGTGCAGAAAATTGTTGCAATTACAAATGTTTAGGCATTCTCATGTTTATTTCTTTTGTTTGTATTGGTTTGGCACAAAAAAGTGGAGAAAAAAAAGCCAAATCTGACACATTTCACACAAAACTCCAAAAATGGACTGGACAAAATTATTGGCACCCCCAATTAATATTTGGTAGCACAGCCCTTGGAAAAAATAACTGAAATCAATGGCCTCCTGTAACCATCAATGAGTTTCTTACTCCTCTCTACAGGAATTTTGGACCACTCTTCTTTCGCCAACTGATCCAGGTCTCTCAGATAGGAAGGGTTCCGTTTCCCAACTGCTGTTTTGAGATCTCTTCAAAGGTGCTCTATGCGATTCAGATCTGGACTCACTGCTGGCCAGTCCAGTACTCTCCAGCACTTTGTCTGAAACAATTGCTGGGTGCTTTCTGAATTGTACTTTGGGTCATTGTCTTGCTGTAAGACCCATGACCTCTGACAGATACCCAACTTTCTGCCACTGGGCCCTACATTGCACCCCAGAATTATTTGGTAGTTTGCAGATTTCATAATGTCATGCACACAGTCAAGACATCCAGTGCCTGAAGCAGCAAAGCAACCCCAAAACATCAGTGAACCTCCACCAAGTTTTTTTTTCATTTTTTTTTCTTCTGAAAACAGTAGAATGACGGGCTTTCCAAAAAAGCTGTTAATATTGTGTCATACCAATACAAACAAAAGAAATAAACATGAGAATGCCTAAACATTTGTAATTGCAACAATTTTCTGCACAAAGTGGTTCATTATCTGACAGAAATGCAGGGGTGCCAATATTTTTGGCCATGACTGTATATACAGTCATGGCCAAAACACTCAAGCAAATAGCCAAACACTCAAGCAAATAGCCTTCACTCCTGTATCACTTATTTTATCTGGTTATATACAGTGCATCCACCAATCATCACCCAATAGAACTCCAGGTATAAATATTCTTAACCCTTGCAGTGGGGCTACTCCTACACTTCAAGAGTTAAGTTTTTGTTTTCGTCTAGGGACAAAGATATGCTCACCTGAACCTCACAGCCTGCTGGCTCTTAGACTGGGCCCTTCAGCCTACTCGCCCCTCTCTACAGTGGTCTACGGTCCTGTGTCCTATACACTGTGTATATGACGTGAGGACACCAAGGGACATTACATGTTATATAACGAGAAAGGAGAAATTCACTGGTGGACGGTTCCATTCGTTTGTTGTAAAAAATAAATTTGGGGTTCTTCAATCTAATTCCTCTTTGAGTGCTTTTGCTTTGATTCATTAAAATGAGGTCAGGAAAGTATTCAGAGTTGTTAGCAGCAGTATTACCCTTGCCAATTTCTATCTGAAGTCCTCCAGTATTAGCATAAACCTTTGCTCCCAGTTGATTTTTTTGAAGGTATAAAATTCTTAATGCAACAAACAGGCGCATTTACATTGCTCACCAGTACAGAACATGGCTGACTGTATGATAACAGTTTGTATATGTGAGGTGCTAAAGTTGCCAAGTGCAAATTATCATTTTTCACAAGGTAAGAGAAGGGTGTTAATCGATTTCCAGAATTAATTGGTGAGAATTACAGCATGGAAAAGGTGCTAAGCACAGACATCTAAAACTTAAAAATCAGAGCGTAGATGATGTGCACAGCTATGTGGATCCAAAACAGATGATATGCTTCCTTAACAAAATGTATTTAGAACAGAATGTAATATTTAATGTCATCTAGCTATAGATTTGCTTGAGTGATAGAAGGGTTTGTAATAAAATAAATTGTCAAAATGTTTCTTTTTTTATTTTTCCCATGATTTAACTCCCATTATTGAATTGAAAGGCACCTGCCATGGAGGAAATGAATCGGGAATGTGATAAATCTTTAATTACATATGCAACCCATTATTGCTATACTGTACATGTACAGGCCAGAAATATTATAATGCATTGTTGCTGAGGAATGACTGTGCCTCAAGAATTGCTGCACAAATCTAGTTTTTTAAATTTAAATTATTAAAATGTATCATCACATTGATAGAGCTTCTGCCTCCAGCTGCAGGTTTCTCTGGTATCCATCTACGCTGTGGCTTAAAACTGGTGCAATTCCTTTTTAGTTATAGCCATGGGGTAACTATCAGGCCTCCTATTTTCATCACTTTTCTCTTCTATTTTATGATTGGATTTGTTAATCTTTCATGAGATGAGCGATGCATGAATTCCATTAAATACTTTTGCTGAGAGTTAGACCAATCTGCATTAAAACTAAGGTAATTAATTCATCCCTTTAATTATTATAAGGATTACCCAGATTCTGTGGTATGTTTAATGCAGGCAAAATGCTGGTTGTTTTTAGTCTGCCATGGAACCTTTATAATGTAAAGTTCTGGCCTACTAGTGAATGTACTTCCACAATCACTCTTCTGGTTCGGATACCCCTGCCACTCTGCATGTGCAGGATGTTGACCTCACTTTTTGCGGAGAAGCAATACACTTTTGTTTTGTTCCTGCCTCTTGTCCGATGACTGGAACGGGAGGGAGCAGTAGCTCACTGATGAGATCAACCCTCTGTTCTACCCTCCTGTAAGCTAACAGCGTAAGGGCCCGTGTCAACAGGCTTTTGTTAGCACCGGAACCGCTTCTTTCCTTTTTGAAGGAATGTAAGAGCAGATTGAAGCTGATCAAATGCAGGTCAAAAGGAGATCAACTGCAGGTCAAATGCGTCTGTTATTGAATTCTGACTGATCTCAGAATCATCTCAAACTAATTTGAAAAATAAGCTGCATTTTCCCACCAACACAAGACACAAAACCAATATCATTCTGCATATTAATAGGTATAGTGTTGGCCCCCTCCTCTCAGTGCTAGTGTGCAGAGGGATATGACAAGCTT